CGAACCGATTATTATAAAAGAGATAAAATAATATAAATTTAATATAGTTACAATAATAAGAAATCATTTAATATAAAATATAAAATATTATTTTTTAAACATTATTGATATTTTAAAGTTAAAGTCTTCAATTTTAATATATTTTGAATTTTTTTTTTTAAATAAGCCCGCTCACGAGCTAATTAGTTGAGAAGAGGTCCAACTTATGCCCGACTTGTTGGCTCATCAAGCTCAATTCACGAGCCACTTATCAAGCTGAGCTCAAGCCGAATCACAAATTGGTTTGACTCACTTACACCCCTGATCATCCCCCTCTAACGCTCTTTCGCTAATTCTTGAATATTACTATTATTTGATGATTAATAACATTTACCGTAGTGTTATTACATAATAAATAGTGTATCTTTAACTTTTCATGTTACATGCCGAATACATTATTGTTTATGATCAAATTCACTCATTATAAGATATTTCTCATAATCAAGCTTTTTATGATAACCAGCATAATAGCAAACTTAATAATTTAAGGATTTTTTTTTTGGTATCGGTGAATTTCGAGCATGAGATTTTTTAGTGAGGGAGAAAATATCCAACCATCGAGCCACCGTCTCATCCATATTTTGACGATCTTCGTTCTTTCAAAACCAACATCGCGACAAAATCATAAAATATGCCGGCCCAAGTGCTAAAAGCATATCCCTCGTCTTGTTCGGGTATTTGCATACAAACCACATAATTCTTGTGTATTTGCTTAATCTAACATCTAAGCATTCGTATTTACATGCATATCCCTCGTCTTCAGCATCACATCAAAAATGTCACAATCATAATCTTTTTAAAAGTAGAATACACCCTCCTTTCATGCATGAGTTCATGACACCAATTATCTATAAGTGTAAATGTCAAAGTGTTAGATATGTAAATACATAAGAATTCTGTGGTATGCATGTAAATTTTGCTTTTTTGAAGAATTTAGATTTTAGATACATACCACTCAATTCCTGTGCACTGCATATTTGACGTCTGAAATTTACTTTTTTACATTTATAACCAAAAAATCAGAAAAAAAAAAAAGGGACACCATTTTAATACAGCTATTGGTGCAAGTTGGTATGTATATAACAAATGACGTATAGGTGTTAGATATGTAAATACAGGAATTGAGTGGTATCTAAATCTTCCTAAATATTTCATCATGCATTTTTGAAAACGTTGCATAACCGTTTGATTTGAGCATTTTTTAAAACGATATCTGTGATGTTTGGGTTTTTTTACGCTAAACGCAGGCCGTGGGTCGACTCCGCGTTTATCCTGAAACGCACAAACTGCCCCATACAAACCCTTCGGCTCCTGTTCGCATAAATAATTTTATTATTTATATAGAAAAATCTTAATTTCAAAGAGAGTTGTCTTACCGAAACATTAAAATCATGAAAATGTAAGTTTTACTTTTTAAAAGTAAAAAAAAATGATTGTATTTTCATGAGAGAGAAAAGATTCGAGTGGTATGAATATAAAAAAAAAATCAAATTTTGATGTTAGATATGTAAATACTGAGGTGTAAGTGCCACTTTTAAAAATATTAAAAAATAAATTAGATTTTATTAAATAAGCTTTGACCAAGTCTTCAGTCAAAGGCCTTATTTTCCTGAACGTCCGGGCCCTCAAAGTTCAAGAATACATTTGGAGGATGAACAATCCTTTCTCTGTCAGAATAAAAAGAACATTTTGTTGTTTATGGATAATTTTGCTCGTTCCAGGAATCATCAGTTGAATCCAATTATTTTTTCAATTTTTTTTTTTAAATAATTGTTTCAATTTACTCAAATAAATAAATTAGACAGACAAATTTTTAGGAGCATTTGCACACATACAACACAATTGTTATATATTTACACATCTAACACCTCACCGCCAAACAAATATCATGGTGATTTGGGCCCGTTTGGGGCAGCTTATTTGGCGCAGTGGCATTTTGAAAACACGTCTGGTCTGTTTGGGTAAAGAACATTTTGGCAGCTTGTGCATTTTCAAAACGCTGAAAATAACGTTTTCACACCGATGGCAGCTTTTTGGCATCGTTCTGGCTTTTACAAAAAAAAATAAAATTTGTAATAGCTACTGCATCTAACTTATCAGCAGATTATTCAATAAACTACCGTTGCTTCAAACAGACCCTTGCACATACCACCATGTTCTTACGTATTTACATACCTAATATAAAAACTTCAATTTTTACCCCATATTGTATGTGTATGTGGGGGCATCTACATACCTTCCTATAAATGAAAAGGAGTATTTCACTTTTTAAATGTTAAACATTGGTATTTTTGATGTGATATGAAAGATTTGAATGATATTTACACACATACCACCATGTTTTTGTGTGTGCGTTTGCGATATAAATATAAATATCAAAGTTTTAGTGTTAAATATGTAAATACATAATAAGTGGGTGGCATGTGTGTAAATGCCCCTAAATAATGGAAAATATTTGTGTACGTCTTACGTACGCAACGTTGTGTATGTCAGAGGTTATTCAGAGGGTACAGAGGGGGTTATATCTGTATTATACCCCGTGTAACATCGCTATAACTTACTTGTACACACAAGAACTACAAAAGTGCAGAACTTATTTGTAGGTTACAAGTAGGATTTAGGTAAGTTACATGGAAGTTATAGGGGATATAATGCGGATATAACCACCGTATACCTTCTGAATAACCTTCCGACGTACGCAGCGCTGCGTACGTCTTACGTACGCAAATATTTTCCCTAAATAACACATGCATTTGTTTTGCACCCAACCATGTAATTCTAAATACATTATATTTCAATAACAATTTATTTTTTTAACATTGTATTAATTTTTCAGCAAAATAAACCCTGAATGCAAGCTAAATACGACACAAAGCACATTTTTTTTAACCAAAATCAAACTTAAAAAGTTTCATATAAACAACTAAATATAACACACAAACTTGGTTCCTAAAATATTGTAGCTCTCACAACAACACAACAACAACAATAAGCCTTTATCTCACTAAATAGGCTTAACTACATGAATCCTTTTTCTCCATTGTGTCCTATTGAGTAATATTTTCACTTAATTCTAATAACTTCATATCAGTTTTTATACAATATGTCCAAGTAGTTCATGTCTACCTCTACCTTAACATATGTCAATTCAAAAACATCTACTGTCCTAGCTGGGTTATCAGGTGGTCAACGTATAATGTGACCAAACAATCTAAAATGAATCTCTTTAATTATGCCTACCACTGGAGCGATTCCAACCAATTCACGAATATATTCATATTTCATTTTATTTCTAAGTGTATAAGCACTCATCCACCTAAGCATTCTCATCTCAACAATACTTAATTTAATTTTACGCTTCTCTTTTACATGTCAACATTCAATGCGATAAAACATTGCATGCCCCACCACCATCTTATAAAATTTTATTTCAAGTCTAAGCATTATTTTTCTATCATATGTTAGACCTGATGCATTCCTCCACTTCTACCACTCAGCTTAATTATACTAATAGCATCCCCATCTATATAATCATCAATTTGAAAAATATACCTAAGATATCTAAAACATTCACTCTTTTAATGACTTGATCACCTATTAATACGACCTCATCACTATATCTACTACTACTAAAATTTCATTCCATATATTCAATTTTAGAAATACTCAAAGGAAATCCTTTAGACTCTAAAACTGACCTCTATAGTCCAAAATATTCCTAAACTCTCTCAATTCTTATCCACAAGAAAGATATCAAGGAAAAACATACACCAAGATACATCCTCCTGTAAATGTACAGTAAGAACAAACATAACTACAAGAAAAAGATACAGGCTGAGAGCCGATCTCTGATGTAATCCAATTAATATAGGAAAATACCTGAATAATCCTCCTTGTGTTTGAACACAAATAACAACACTAAAATACATATCATTGATAACTTGAATATAAACAATATCAACAACTTTCTTTTTTAAAACTCTCCAAAATATTCCTCTTGGAATTTTATCATAAGATTTTTCCAATCAATAAAAAATTGTATTGAGATCCTCCCTACTCTCTCTATACTTCTCTCCATCTCATTAAATCCAACCTGACCTTGAGAAATTTTTATATCACATCGTAACCTATATTCAATTAATCTTTCCCATAACTTTAATGTACGACACATTAACTTAATTCCACAATAATCTACACAGTTGTGCATCCTTTTATTCTTAAGAAAATGACAAACTGCACAACATTACATCCCAAGTGCACAGGCGTTAAGACAAAAATGCACATGTAGGAGCTTAATGGGTGTTGGTAAGCTTTGCTATTAAAGATCTTAGAAACTATTGTCACAGTTTTAATATCAAACTTTACCCAGTAAATGTAAGCAACTACCCGCGTGTCAACGAACTAAACAGCATTCATTTTATTCAACTCACCAAATTTAAGGGAAATTTACATGCATACCACACAATTCTTATGTATTTACATATCTAATACCTAAACTTTCGTATTTGCATTTATGACATTATTATGTGATAACTCTAGCATGAAAAGATGTATTTCACTTTTGATGTTAAAGAATTGAATGCAATCAATGTAAATACTAAAGTTTGAGTGTTAAACATGTAAATAAACAAGAATTGAGTAGCATGTATGTAAATGCATGCGAAAAATAAGTGGCTGCTTGAAGACACTTCTATTTCTTTTTTTTTTTTTTGTCTTTTGCTCTTATTTTGTTTTATCTATATTTTGATTTGAAAAAAAAAAAAAACTTACTTTATATGTTAAAATAAAATATAATTATCTTTTAAAAACATTCAAAACAGCTAAAATTATTTTGAGTGTTATTAAATAAGTTCTATTGCTTTTATAGAAATAAAAAACATGTAACGAAAACACTAAATAGACATTTTAAAAATAAAAGCAAAAACAAATTAAAAAAATAAAAATAAAAATGACCCCACAAAGAAACATAAGTATGTTCTTCTCAACTATCAAGTGAAAATGCCTCAAGAACATATACAGATTCAATTTAAATATTTATTTTTGCTAAAAAGAAAAGTTTATAGAACATAATCCAACTAACCATTCATTCTACTAATGATGTCATGATTAAATATTAACATACCTGATCAAGATGATAAAAACACCAATGCTGAGCTCTTCCCTGTCTCCATGCCCACCTTCCGAGACATAAGAACATATTTGGTCACAGCCTAGTAACTCAATGCACCTGAAAAAGAAAAATCAATTCAAGAAGACAACCAGATATAATAAGGATGATATAATATAATTTATATCAATTCAATAAAAAATACATTCCGCTTTTGCCATTTTGAATAATATTCTAAATAAAAAATATAAGAAATGACATATTCTTCATTTTTAATTTAAAAATTTTATTTACATCCATTCGATCAAAATTAAAATACTAAAATTAGACAATATTATAACTGACCAATTCTTTAAAAACCGGACCGATTCAATGATTCACGAGTCTAACTCTGATTCTGATTGGGTCAATCTTAATTTTATGCAAAAACAGTTTTAAACTCGAACTGAACCGGTCAAACCAACTAGCCCGGTCCAATTTTTAAAACCATGCAAAGAAGACAAACTTCTTTACCGTAATCATGTCGTACTAGAATCAATACTTCGTCCTTGATTGTTGTGAGAAGCATCGCCGCTTCTCCTTCCCTGTGGAAACAGCACAGGTCTACAACAGACCAAAACAATCAACAACTCCCAGACGAAAAGCCCCATTGCAAGCCAGATAAGTAGTGTTTTCCTCCAGTTCCATATTATTCTCTTCAGTATGGGCAGCTTTGATTCTAGTTTTAAAGAAGCAGAATAGATCTCAGGAATACCAGCACCAAGCATGAATCCTGCCCGCTGTTCTAGAACTATTCTGACGCTCATGGTTGGCTCATATCCTTCAGTAAAACCTGATAATCTTAAATCAATAACCTGTGATTCGGAGGAATAACCTGCTAGCAGAGGGCCACTTCTGATGAAGGTCTCCATAAAGCGAATATGCGAACTTTTGAAACGAAGCATGCAAGGTTTGCTTGAACGAGAAGTGATTTTGCCTTTTGTTGAAATAAACTCTACACTGACCTTAGCTCAACGAAGAAATACACGGAAGAAAGGAATAAAAGAAATTAGTGTATTGTAATAAAGGAAGAACTGCATACATACCACACAATTCTTATGTATTTACAGAGGAAGATTCACATACATACCACTCAATTCCTATGTATTTACAAATCTAACACCCAAAATTCATTTTTTACGTACATGCCCTCTTAACTATGCATGAAAAGGTGTATATTACTTTTTAAAAGTTAAAACGATGGTATTTTTATATGATATGAAAGATTTGGGTTGTATAAGTGTTAGATATGTAAATATATAAGAACTGAGTGGTATGTATGTAAATGGCCCATTTACATATCTAACACCTAAATTTTGATTTTTAGATTTATACCGCTTTACACATGCCTAAGAAGGGCATTTAACATTTTAAAAATTAGTAATAGTAATATTTTTCATGTGATATGAAATATTTGAGAGTTATTTATGTAAAAAATCAAATTTTAGGTGTTAGATATGTAAATACATAAAAATTATATGTGATATGTATAAATTTCATGGAAATTAAGATATGCACAAGATTAAATATCCATGGAATTGAAAAATGATTTGCAGGTCTGAAAACTGTTCTTTAGTGAACTGTTAAAAAAGCTGCATGGTAAACAACACATTAGAGCATGGATGGTAACAACACATGAAAGATTTTACCATAGAATGTAAAAAGTGAGGGAATAGAATAATATTTCCTTTTGAGGGCACAGCTGCTCTGTAAATATCAATTATGATAAATACTAAAATTTGAGAGAAGAAAAAAAAAAGATATTGAAGTACATCATGCCTACAAACATGAAATCAAAACACTAGAATCCTTTCCAAGTATTTGTTAAAAGAATTGGTTCTTTTTTTAAAAGAAACTGCAGTAGTAATTAAAAAGGAAATAGAAAAAAAGAAAGGAAAAATGGCCGAGAAGATATTTGAAGGAGTTTGCCTGTTGTCAAGTGTACTACCTACAAAGAGTTGGTGGATCGAGTTATACATGCAGAGCTAGAGCTTAATCCTTGTGAAGAAAAATACATACAAATAAAGGAACACAGATGCCCAAGTGCAGGCAAAGCTGCAGAAGAAAAAGCACCAGCGAGATAAGTTGAGCAATTATAATTAGCCTCATTGCGAGAAGAGACACCCTTGACATTGCAATCTAACTATTAGCAAATGCAAAACACCGATCATAAGATCAAGGATTGTCCTCTCAATCTCAAAACTCAACCCAAAGTAAACCGGGAGAATAACTTAAAGCAACATAAGAATGAGTGGCAAAAATCTCATAAAAATCGACACAAGAAGCAAGATAACAGGAAAGGCAGGTCAATACTACTTTCAACCCCAACAGTAACCGCAACAAGTGATGGTGTCTCAACCGTATAAACAACATCCCTTTGGATTGCAGTGCTGATAATACATGTAGTCGCCACTAACGTATCAACACCCATTGATGGTGCATTACCAACAGAAGGAGCCCGAGCAGGCAATTCTATCGTCAGCATTTATTATGATGTTGCAAGGAGCCTGCAAAGCTCCTGACTAACATGTATTATCTATCTTTAAGAAACCGACAAGACTATTATTTGACTCGGAAGCATCATATTCATTCATATCAGATAAATTTACATCTAATGCATCGATATCTTCATTACAATCACACCTATTAGTCACTGTCATCTAACTCAAATGTGATTGTTACTCAATATGCTCATGATTTTAATATTATTAATTTATTATCAATGATATGCAAATGATGGTAAATTCATAGTATTTTCATTGATCTAGTTTGATACAATATTGGGTATAGACTGACAATCCATATATCATGCTATTATAAATTATCGTAAGAGACAAATTTTTGTATATCTTATTCAGTCTCTTTTAATTTCAATGGTAATAAAGGAGCTCTCTCTTGTTTAATATCAACAATTAAGACCCATAAGTTGATTTCCCACTAAAGCGTTGGTTATCTGACTCATGTGAATTCCAACAAATTCATTATTGCTTCAATAATATTCCAGTGGTAGTTGATGTATTTCCCGAAGATTTATCTGACTTACCCCCTGATCGTTAGATCGAGTTCACCATAGGCCTACTTCTGAAGACTGCTTCAATTTCCAAAGCACTGTATCAAATGACCGATGTTGAACTCCAGGAGTTTCAGATCCAATTGTAAGAATTGCTTGATAAATGCTTATTTGACTGAACGTTTCACCTTGGGGAGCGCCAATTTTATTCATGAAGAAGAAAGACAGGAGCGTGAGATTGTGCATCGACTACTGAGAGTGGAATAAAGTGATTGTGAAAAACAAGTATCAATTGCCTCGTATAGATGATCTGTTTAGCCAGCTACAAGGTTCTTTGTTTTTTCCAAAATTAGCCCTCAATGCAGCTACCATTAGTTGAAGGTCAAGAATGAAGATGTTTAAAAGAATGTTTTTCGATCTCAATATGATCATTATGAGTTCTTAGTAATGCGGTTTGATTTGACTGATACCCCTACTACTTTTGTGGATTTGAAGAATAAAATTCGAATCGCATATGGATCACTTTGTCATTATATTCACTAATGATATTCTAATTTATTCAAAGAATGAGAACCCCACCCATCATCTCAAAGCAGCATAGAATGTTCTTGAGGAGAACAATTTTTATTTCAAATTCTCTAAATGTGAATTTTTTCTTCGAGAAATGACTTTTTTGGGGCATATTTTTAACAAACCTAAAATCTATGTGAATCAAACCAAGATTTAAACAATAATGGAATGGCCGAGGCCGAGCACTATTACGGAGATCCATAATTTCCAAGGTTTAGCCGACTATTATCAGAGATTTGTTGAAGGCTTCTCTATTATTGCTGCACCTCTATCAATGTTGACTTAGAAGGATATTAAGTTTGAGTTGTTTGATGGTTGTGAGCTGAGTTTTCAGAAGCTCAAAAACTACTTGGTGGCCACCCTAATTCTTATTATTCTTTCCGACATCGATGGATTTCAGAACTATAATGACACTTCATATCAAGAATTGGAATGTGTTCTCATACAACATAATAGAGTTGCAGTTTAAGCTTCTAGACAACTTAAGGTGCACGAGCAGAATTATCATACTCATGACTTGAGAGATCGCCGCAGTTATTTTTTGCACTGAAGATTCAAATACATTACTTTTATGGTGTTACTGTGAGGTCATCACCGATCTTAATTACTTAGAAGAATATTTTTACTCAGAAAGAGTAGAATTTAAGATAAAGACGATGTCTCGAGTTGATGGATTATGATCTACATATTCAATTATCACCAATGTAGAGCGAATGTGGTTGTTGATGCTCTAAGCAGAAAATCCTCAACGTATACAGCTTGGATGATCTCTTGGGAGCACCGGTTAGTATGGGCGACGGAGTAACTCCAACTAGAGATTGTATTGATGGTAGCCCATCCAACCATTTATAATTTGTCGCATCTGCATACAAGAGTAGATTGAATTCGTGCAACTCAGATGAAGGATGCAAAACTATTACCGCTTAAATAACAAGCTTGGAATGGATTGAAGCCCAAGTTTAGTATTGATCAAATCAACACTTCGAGATTTCAAAACTATTTGTGTTCCAGATCAAGCATGACTTAAGCAGGAGATACTCTGTGAAGCACATTCTACTCATCTAGAAAGTACCAAGGTTTATCAAGACCTCAAAGCACTATTTTTGTGGTCGGGTATGAAGACTGATGTAGCTAAGTTTGTAACCAAGTATTTGACCCATCAGATGTTCAAGGCATAACATCAGAGAACTGGTGATCTGTTGCAACTCCTTCCCATTCTAGCATTGAAATGGGAGGTCAGGATGAAATTTATTATTGGATTGGCTAGATCAAAGTAGGGACACGACGTGATTTAGGTTGTGGTTAATAGGCTCAATAATCCAACTCATTTTCTACCAATCAAGAAGAATTAATCAGTGGAGAAGTTAGTCAATATCTAAATAGGCAATACTGTTCGCTTGCACGGGATACCAACTGTCATGGTATCTGATCGAGATGGGAGATTTACTTTCGTGTTATGGAAGTGAAAGGAACTTTGAGCACGATATTAGACGTTAGAACGGTTTTAAATCCTTAGACATTTGGGACTGAAGGATGTGGGGAGAATATATTCCATTAGTGGAGTTTGCTTATAACAACGGCTTTCAAGCTAGTATCAGCATGACCTTGTACGAGGCACTTTATGATAGTAAGTGAAAATTCCCTTTTTGTAGGTTCAAGATAGAGGTGTAAACAAGTCAAACATGAGTGAGCCCAAGCTCAGTTCAAGCTCGGCACGTTTGTTTAACGAGCCGAACACGAGCTGTTCATGAGCAAAGAGTCGTTTTGACAATTCTAGTCATTCAGTCGTAGGATGTTAAGAGTTAGGGTGAGATTTAAATCTTATTATTTATATTAAAACATCATTTAAATATAATTTAATATATTTTTATTCTCTTTTAATTAATAATTTTAATTGATTATAAACATTCGTAACCTTATATTCAATTTAATTTTTTAAAAATACTAATCATCAATATTTTATATATATATATATATTATTTCACATCAAGACGAGCCGAACACAAACGAACAAATCTTTGTTCATGTTTGACTTTTTTTATATGAAGTGTAAAAAATTTATTCGTGTTCGACTCGTTAACTTAGCGATCGAACACAAACTTCTTAACAAGCCGAACACGAACTGTTCGCGAACAACGAGCCGTGTTGACAGCCCTAGTTCAAGATTAGTGAAGGACGAATGTTCGAACCAGTTAATTAATCAAGCCATTGAGAAGGTTCGTTAGATTCAATATCGACTACATGCGGCTCAGGATTGTTAGAAGAAATAGTTTGACCCCAAGCACAGAGAGATTGAATCAATGTTTGAGATTTTGTTTCTCTGAAAGTTTCACCTATGCATGGAGTAACAAGATTTAATCGGAGTGGAAATCTTCAGCCTCGCTT